CCACAGTTTCAAAACATGATGGTAGCATAACCATTTATTTATTTATTTATTTATTTATTTATTTATTTTAATGTTTTTTTTTTTTATTTGTTTTTGAGACAGACAGAGACAGAGCATGAGCAGGGAAGGGGCAGAAAGAGAGGGAGACACAGAATCTGAAGCAGGCTCCAGGCTCTGAGCTGTCAGCACAGAGCCCGATGCGGGGCTGGAACTCACAGACTGCGAGATCATGACCTGAGCCGAAGTCACACGCTCAACCGACTGAGACACCCAGGCGCCCCTGTAGCATATCCTTTTAAATTCATGTAGAAGAGGCTCCTTTCCCATGTAGCTCTGGTCATATAATTACTGCCCATACAATGTTTTTTCATATTCTAACTTCCCTCTGACCTCATACCTACAATTTTACAGCAGAGGATTGCCTTTTCTTCAGAATATCAAGGTCATACTGGTGAATATGAGCTAACGTTATGCTGACAAAACTGGTCAGTGATATTTAACTGTCCCTTGACCCATTGATATTTTGATATCTTGGACTCTGCTTTTCATTGTCTTCACCCTCCCATGCTTGTGTGGTCAGATTTGGGAATCTTAGGGCAATTGTAGTTCTGGTTGATCAGGCCCCTCCCTCCTTCTAACATTCTATCTTTTCATCTCACTCCCCATGGTGTATTTAATGTATGCCTCCTCCAAAAGGCAAGAAAGAAAAAAGAGACAGAGAGAGAGACAAAGACAGAGAGAGAGAAAGGAAGGGAGATCTCCTTGGAAACTGAATGTGACCCCATTTGGAAAAAAGGGTCTTTTTTGGTTAATGACTGATTGCAAGATGAAATCATCTTAGATTAGGGTGGTTCCAATAACAAGTGTCCTTATAAGAGAAGACATAGTCAAGAGGAAGAAGACACAGCCACAAAGAAGGCCACCTAAAGATGGACCCAAAGATTGGAGTTATTCTGCCATGAAAATGGAATGCCTGGAGCCCCAGGAAGAAAGGAGAGGACAGTGGGGATCCTCCTGTAGAATGATTGGAGGGAAACTGAGCCTGCCAACACCCTGAATTCAGACTTCTACTCTTTAGCTCTCCGCAAGAATACATTTCTATTGTTTTAAGTCACCAAAACTGTGGTAATTTTGTTACAGCAGACCTGGGAAACAAATAAATGCCCTGAGCCTCAATTTAAATGAAATTAGCATATTTGTATTTTCCCATGGCCAATCTTTTCATTCTTTCTTAGGACCCGTCAGCTCATCTCATGTTGTGTCATGTTTCTCTACAGCGGAGATGTCCTGCGTGAGAAAACTCTAAGTGGTTTCATTGTTTAAATTCCAGTTTCCAGATGACTGTCTTGGTTATTCTTGCTCCTCCTATTTCCTTATTTCTGTCTGCACATTTCTCCTTTGGCTTTACTCACTTTCTTAGTTCCTTAATTTTGGCACAGAAATCCACACCCCATCCAACCTCCCTATCCCCAAACACGTTTTTCTTTATTGATCTACATTAACTATTATGAAATCTGATCACTTTGTCTCTATCACTACTATATCACCATCACTGCCTCAAATCCTCCTTTTTTTTTAAGTTTATTTATTTATTTATTTATTTATTTATTTAGAGAGATAGAACAAGAAAGGAAGGGGCAGAGAAAGAGAGACAGAGAGACGGAGAATCCCAAGTAGGCCCCATATTGTCAGTGTGGAGCCCAATGCGAGGCTCAAACTCACAACCCATGAGATCATGGCCTGAGCTGAAACCAACAGTTGGATGCTTAACCAACTGAGCCACCCAGGTGCCCATGGAGTCTACTGCTTCTATCAAGGACTTTGGATTTCTACAGGAGAGGATATATCTATCTCTTTTTCCTAAGTAGTCACTTGATTGCTATAAAGAATACAGTTCCCAGTGTCCCCATGGCATCATTCCTTGTCTGCTGCTCCATGGCACACTTAAAATTTCCCTCTTTCTTTGTTTTTGCATATAAATGACTTCCAAGCTCTACTCAGAGCTTCTTGTAGCCATGACACCTATAGCCAGCCTCTCAAGTGTAGGCCCCTGTCTCTAACCTGAACCTGCACTGTCCTCGAAGCATTTTATGATTTTCAAGCACTGAGTTATTTAGGTTAGAGATTCGGAATTAACCGTTGGGTTGAGGTTCTGGCCTCAGTATTTTTTAAAGTTCCCTGAGTGATTTTGGTGTGCAGTTCAGCAACAGCTGTTCGAACCCACCCTGCACTTAACAGTCTTTTGGGAAAAACATTGAAATGCCTGTTGCATTATATTATTTTCCAGATGTGTGAAATCTAAACTCAAGCCTGACATTGGAGATCTTAGTTCCACACCAATCTGATCTCCATCTATTGTGTACATAGACTCCTGTTTTTCTGCCAAACTGATTTCCTTGTATTGTTTATATCTAAGGAAAAATTACTTCCCACCTCTCCCCACCCAAACACACATACACATGCACAGGACCCATGATCTGGCAAAGGATTTTTGTGGCATATTTATGGACACGGGTCTGACAGGTATACATTTTCTACAATGAAACGTTAGACCCTGGAAATGTTTGAGAGTGGATACAAACAGTGGGGTAAAGCACTGAAAACTAACCTAGGCCCCTCCCCTAAAGCCACAATATTTGCTTGCTTATTCATTAGCTTGACTTTTTTCTGAAGAAACACTTTGAAGTAAATATTTATAGAAGCAACTAAGCTTGCTGAAAGAGCATCTTTGGGCCAGAGGGCATGAAGGAACAGTTCTCCCATCACTTGCCTTTATACTAAAGGAAAGAAAAACTTATTTGAGCCCTTGGCAATGTCAGTGACAGACATTTCCTAATTTGTGATCAGTATCAACACTGCTAGCTGACTGATGCAACCTGTGACAGAACCCCTCCTAATGAAGCAACTACAGGGCAGATTCTGATGAAAACTTCCTTCTCTCGCCTCTTCCCAGAAGCAGAGCTGTTTAAAATTTCACACCAATGAGAGGAAATGAAAATAAAACTGAAATACAGAATCACTTTTCATAAATCTAGCATAGGACTATTATAAAGTTGGCCCAGTTTGTCAGGGAATTTTTTATAATGAGCTCAGCAATGGAAATTTCTCCTAAGGGATAGCCATTAACCAAATCACAAGACAGACATGATCTGGCTCAGAACCAATCACAAGCCCTTGAAACTTTTATTGTTTCTCATCTAGTGTTCTTATTTATATATAAAAAAGGAAACAAAGAGGGGAGCTCAATCATTATGGCTCTATAAAGTTACATACTTTATATTATTATTTTTCCTCTGCTCAGTGTAAATATTTAACCTCAATAAGAATGTGTTAGCCTATTGGCTTTTCTTTCCTTGTGAACCAGGGACAATGGGAATATTCCCAAATCAAGTTTTACACACACAGTGAGCACTGGAATGAGGGTTCGAAGAACTGCTTCTATTCCTTACGCTGGATTTATTAAAGTGTCTCATGCTCCACAACAATCCAGGGGGAGTGGCATCAGATCTTCCCCTACTACATGTGAAAACTGGGGTCATGCAATGCTTGTGATTTATACAGGGGTACAAGATTTAGTAAGTGCAAGTCAGAGTGACTGACATGTTCTGGTTTGCCCAGGACTTTCTTGCTTTAGCCCTGAAAGCCTCACATCTTGACAACCCTTTCAGTCCCTGGCAAATACAGATCCACAATCACCCTAGTTGCAGTCAGAGATTGCAATCTGTACACTGGGCTACAACCCTATTCTCCATAACATCCTGAAGTCATTACTTCTAATGCTCAAGTTACTTGCAGATCTGTGACTTGTTCTCTCAACTAACAGCTCTACAGAGAGCTTTTGGGAAGAGTGAATAGATGATATCTTCATCTATATTCTTCTAATAACAATCAAAAATAAATAAGCATTAGAATAGGTATTCAATAAAAGTTCATTGAATTCCAGAGTATTCTTTAATTGTGGTTAAAGATGAATTAGGCCTACAGGGAAGGTGTAGAATTGGATCTATTAAGTCATCACAAAAGCCGCAGTATTGGACCCCTAGATTCTCACCCGAGTAGTTTGGGCCCTTATCAATGATGTAGTAGAAAAAAGATGTTAGCAGTGCTGAGTATTAGTTCAGCTTTTGACACTAAAATGACTTTGGCAAGCCACTTCCTGTGCACTTCAACCAGCTGAAATGTAAAAGCAGGAAGGTGGGACCAGGTGACTTCTAAGAACTCTTACAGTCTTAGCGTAATAGGCTTTGAGCCACAAAGAGTAAACAATGTTAAGGGTTCACTGATGGGGGCCCTGGGTGGTGCAGTTGGCTAAGTGTCTGACTCCAGCTCAGGTCATGATCTCACAGTTTGTGGGTTCAAGCTCCGTATCTGTGCTGACAGCTCGGAGCCTGGAGCCTGCTTCAGATTCTGTGTCTCCCTCTTTCTCTCTCTGTCCCTCCCCCACTCACATTCTATCTCTCTTGCTCTCTCAAAAATAAACATTAAAAAAAAATGAGTTAACTGATGAAACAAAATTGGATTATAAGCTGTGCCTTCAGTAGAATTCAAAAATGGGTATTGTTAGTTCTCACGGGTTTCTTCCTCTTCTCAGCAATGTCTGTGAATATCTAACTCTTCCTACCAACACCGAAAGTACCCATGGTTTTTTGTGTTCTTTCTGCACTCCTACTAGCAAGTGAAGATAAACTGATTTGCTCCCTTACTTGATCTCTAAGTTCTGTCTTTTCCTTGGTAACCCAGATTTGCTAATAAGTTTACTGGACTGATTGACAATCTATTAAAAATAACTGGCATTAAAACATTCCATTTGAACTATCCTGTGCTGTATGTAGCTGTCACTTTTCTCTTTTCATAATTCCATGTTGATTTATTTGTAACATCTTTCTCAGGTATTTATATTGCATCTCCCCTAATGACCACATAAATTAAGCAGATAAAAGAGAGAACAAATCAGCATCATGAGAAACCTATTCTGTCCTGGTCCAAGGTTCTATACTTACCAAAGGATTTGGCAGAAGAAAGCCATACTCTTCAGAAATATGAAATCTTCCTAAAGATAATAATGGTATTGTCTTCAAATTCTGACTTTGAGGTTCCATAATTTTGTCTGAAGTATTTGCACTAAAGCCAGTCCTGAGTGACAATGATTCCAAATATACCAAAGACCCAGGCTGAGGGAGCTTCAGGATGGCATCTTCTTGCTGCAATTCTGCAGTGTCTCAGCAACAGAGGAGAACCTTGGTCTGAGGTTGAATTCCAGAATGCCATAAACTTTCTCTGACACAAGGTTGAGTAAACAATTAGAGACTGCTGACTAAAACAAACAGGCAAACAGAATCACAAAAGAAAAAAAAAAATCTCCTTTCTTTTTACACACATGTAGTAAGAGAAAATTGGTTTTAAAGATTGGTTTTAAGTCCAAAGACAATTTGTTCTCCTTTGGAAAAGGGGAAATGAGCTAGTACTTTGGTTATGGCTGATTCCAAATATCCTGACAGTAATCTTGTCCAAAATGAATTTTGACAACAGGGTCTTTATCCCAAAGGAGTGAATGATTAAAACTGGAAGTGGGGGCGCCTGGATGGCGCAGTCGGTTAAGCTTCCGACTTCAGCCAGGTCACGATCTTGCGGTCCGGGAGTTCGAGCCCCGCGTCGGGCTCTGGGCTGATGGCTCAGAGCCTGGAGCCTGTTTCTGATTCTGTGTCTCCCTCTCTCTCTGCCCCTCCCCCGTTCATGCTCTGTCTCTCTCTGTCCCAAAAATAAATAAACGTTGAAAAAAAAAATTAAAAAAAAAAACAAAACTGGAAGTGAGTCACCTTTAGACAGATATTTCAGTGGTTGGTGGTGACTGGAGATCAGAGGAAGACTCTAAATACATATCAGAACCTCAGAGGGGGTCTGAACAACATATTCTAAACAACTGCTTTGCTTTACTTTAAGAAATAACATTTAATCATTTTTTGAAATCTTTAGCCACAATAAGGAGGACATATATATTTTTAACAAATGAAGTAGTGGATATTAATAAACTTAGGAGTCTGAACAGAGTATTTGATTGAACCCTCTACCTTTATCAACCATCTTTTGAGAAACTTCTACTAAAATGGGTGACTTTACCTATGAAGGAACTACTACTTTTACTGATTTTACAGAGTAGTAAACTGAGGAACACCATATAGATAACCCTGTCTATTGTCACTCCACTAATTATTGGCAGAGTGAGGACTAGAGCTGAGGTATCTTAAATTTTTTTTTAACGTTTTTTATTTATTTTTGAGACAGAGAATGAACAGGGGAGGGGCAGAGAGAGAGGGAGACACAGAATCAGAAACAGGCTCCAGGCTCTGAACCATCAGCCCAGAGCCCCACGCGGGGCTCGAACTCACGGACCGCGAGATCGTGACCTGAGCTGAAGTCGGATGCTTAACCGACTGAGCCACCCAGGCGCCCCTAGAGCTGAGGTATCTTGATTTCCAAGCCATTGCTGTGTTCCCTAGATCAGGCTGCCAGACTGTCAAAAGTGCTCTTACAGTTTGTTTTTTGAGAAAGAGAGAGAGAGAGAGAGAGAGAGAAGGAGAGAGAGAGAGAGAGACAGCATGTGCACACACATGTGCTCTCTAACAGGGGAGGGACAGAGAGAGAGAAGAGAACCTTTTTTTAAAAAGGTGTTTATTTATTTATTGTGAGAGAGAGAGAGAGAGGAGAAGTGCAGAAAGAGAGGGAGAGAGAATCCCAAGCACACCCCGCACTCAGGATGGAGCCTGACTGAGGGCTCAATCTCACAATCATGAGATCATGACCTGAACTGAAATCAAGAGTTGGATGCTTAACCAAGTGAACCACCAGGTGCTCCTATAGTTTGAATTTTCTTTACTATGGAGCCAGGTTATAAGTTCCAGTCCATAGATCTGCAGTATGGAAATTCTGAAGACTCTACCTTTTGTCAAATGGACCCTAAACTTAGGTCAAAAGTTGTAGACAAATTTATTTGGAAGCTAATTTATCTGAACACATCTTCTTCTTCCCTTTCTCTATGATAAATAGAAAAGCTAAGAGCAGGAAGTTCTCTGATCATTCATTGAACAGTTCCTACAGAAGGTTCAACTTTAAAAGTTGTCTTTCAAAAGTAGCCTAATTAGTCTATGTATCTGTTTTTGTGCCAATACCATACTGTCTTGATGATTACAGCTTTGAAGTACAGGCTAAAGTCTGGGATTATGATGCCTCCAGATTTGGTTTTCTTTTTCAACATTACTTTGCCTATTCAGGGTCTTTTGTGGTTCTATACAAATTTTAGGGTTGTTTGTTCTAGCTCTGAGAAGAATGCTGGAGGCAATTTTGATTGGGATTGCACTGAATGTGTAGATTGCTTTGGGTAGTATCAACATTTTATCCATATTTATTCTTCCAATCCATGAGCATGGAAGGTTTTTCCATTTCTTTGTGTCTTTTTCAATTTCTTTCATAAGTTTTCTATAGTTTTAAGCATACAGGTCTTTTACATCTTTGGTTAGGTTTAATTCTAGGTATTTTATGGGTTTTGGTGCAATTGTAAATGGGTCAAATAGAGAACCCAGAAATGGACCCACAAATGTACGGCCAGCTAATCTTTGACAAAACAGGAAAGAGTATCCAGTGGAATTAAGGCAGTATCTTTAGCAAATGGTGCTGTGAGAACTGTACAGCAACATGCAGAATAATGAAACTGGACCACTTTCTTACACAATATACAAAAGTAAACTCGAAATGGGTGAAAGACCTAAATGTGAAACAGGAAACCATCAAAACCCTAGGAGAAAGTAGACAACACCCTCTTTCATCTCAACCGCAGCAACTTCTTACTCAACATACCTCCAAAGGCAAGGGAAACAAAAGCAAAAATGAAGTATTGGGACCTCATCAAGATAAAAAGCTTCTGCACAGTGAAGAAAACAACAAGCAAAACTAAAAGGCAACTGACGGAATGGGAGAAGATATTTGCAAATGACGTCTCAGAAAAAGGGTTAGTATCCAAAATCTATAAAGAACTTACCAAACTCAACACCCGAAAAACAAATAATCTGGTGAATAAATGGGCATAAGACATGAATAGACACTTCCTAAGAAGACATCCAAATGGCCAACAGACACATGAAAAGATGCTCAACATCACTCATCATCAGGGAAATACAAATCAAAACCAAACTGAGATGCTACCTCACACCAGTCAGAGTGGCTAAAATTAACAACTCAGGAAACAACACATGTTGGCAAGGAATCCTCTTGCACTGTTGGGGGGCATGAAAACTGGTACAGCTACTCTGGAAAACAGTGTGGAGGTTCCTCAAAAAATTAAAAACAGAATTACCCTATGACCCAGCAATAGCCCTACTAAGAATTTACCCAACGGATACAGCAGTGTTGATTCATAAGGGCACATGCATCCCAATGTTTATAGCAGCTCTATCAACAATAGCCAAATTATGGAAAGAGCCCAAATGTTCATCAACTGATGAATGGATAAAGAAGATATGGTTTATATATACAATGGAATATTACTTGGCAATGAGAAAGAGTGAAATCTTGCTATTTGCAACAATGTGGATGGAACTGGAGGGTATTATGCTAAGTGAAATAAGTCAGTCAGAGAAAGATATCATATGTTTTCACTTATATGTGGAACTCGAGAAACTTAACAGAAGACCATGGGAAAAGGGAAGGGGAATAAAATAGTTTCAAACAGAGAGGGAGGCAAACCATAAGAGATTCTTAAATACAGAGAACAGAGGGTTGAAGGGTGTGGGGGGAGGGGAAAATGGGTGATGGGTGATGAGGAGGGCACTTGTTGGGATGAGCACTGGGTCTTGTATGTAAGCGATGAATCATAGGAATCTACTCCCGAAACCAAGAGCACACTACGTACACTGTATGCTAGCTAACTTGATGATAAATTTTATTTAGAAAAAAAAATTTTTAAGTATCCTTATTGATTTATGCTCCATCTGACACCTGAGAGCCATTTTCAGTTATCTACTTTCCCTCAACCCAATATTCAACCAGTCTTGACATTCAGTTTCCTACACCTTCTAAATGCAATTTCTCAAACTTTATACCTTTGGTCATCTTGTTTTCTCCTACAGTTTCAGATGAACAGATGGCCCAGTTATTTTTGTTTATGCTAGTCATGTTATTTTTCATCCATTCCCTCTATACCGTCTCAAGAATTCACTATAACATTATAAAAGCATAGAATAATAAAATATCAGAACTGAAAGGAACATTATAGGATAAAAGATCTAGTTCAACACCCTCATTAAATATGTGAAAAGCTTGACATTTATGGGAGTGAAATGACTTATCAACTGTCATCAACAATCCATTCTTGCACGGGAGAATTGGACTGGAATTCTGACTAGCTGCCTCTCAGCCCAGAATGTCCCACTGTGAAATCAGCTAGGCCTACCTGAGTATGAATCTCTATCACCTACCCATTATGTGGCTTTTTAACAGGTGGCTTAAAATTCTGAGGCTCTGTTTCCACATCTGCAGAAAATAGTAACATTTATCCAAGAGACATTTTGGAATAAATAAATGAGAAACCAGAAATGAAACATTTATCAGACAACAGTAAATGCTATTTTTCTATGCTTTTTTCACCTCATTCTGGGAATCCTTTTTAAAAACCTTTTCCTGGTTTTCTTTGCTATCATTCTGATTATATCCTTTCCTGTTCCAATCTCTGACTCCATTTTTTATATCAGCCCTGATATACAATTTGTACATATTCTCTACTTCAGTGTGCTTATGTATTTCCATCGGATCTTAACCATCAATTCTATATGCCCAGGTTCCCAAATCTGCATATTGTGGGGGGCCGGGCCCCGGTGCCAGGCTGAGACCAGGTCGAGCAATATTCCCTGTTGACTCAGCCAACCCGGTGGTTCCCCCTCCCATTCATGTGGGAGGCCGGGCCCGGCGCCAGGCTGAGACCGGGTCGAGCAACATTCCCTGTTGATTTAGCCAACCCTGTGGTTCCCCCTCCCATTCCCCCACTTTTAATGGCATACAAAAGCCTTGTCAAGGCTGAGAAAGTTAATTCCTGAAGCCTGTGGTCTGCAGGTGTTGGCAGTAATGCTACCTCCCTTTTTCTACCCCGAGTCAGATAGAAACAAACATGGGAATTGTGTTTTGCTAGCAATCTTATCAACAAGGTCTTGTTGTGACCTGTCTAGAAAATTCACAAGAAACACAGAACTAAATGTTTTAGTTGGCAGTGATTATG